GTGAAAACTGAGGCAACATGTTGAGGCATCCTGCATCTTGGATGAAATCCCAGACCAGGTATTTGCAACAATTTGTAAAGCTCATTATACACATATTCATAGCCTATTATCACCCAAAGGTCAGCTCATGTGACTTAAGCCTTTCTCTGCTCTCTGCCTGTTTTCTGCAGGGTTGAAGTTAATATGTGTTCACAGTAATTGGTAAATGAATAGTCATATATATATATATATATATATATATATATATATCCCTTGTGAAGGGAATCTCAGCAGTATGGGTTAAACATCTGGTTCTAATGGCAGTATGCCATTCAGAGTATGTGGACTATGGAGCAAGCTATGATAGATGGCACTGTAATTCCATAGGCTTTCCTCAGTAATATAATGATGTGAGTGAGTGAGCAGCCTGACAACAAGATAATCGGATCAAGCGATGATGGACAGGCGCTTTCAGTGAATCCATAATTGAGTCAGGGAACTTGCTTGTTCATTGGAGAAGATGCATACAGATTGGGATGAAGGAGCAAGGGAGCGGATCTGAGTGACCTGAATAAAGATAAAGTCAAAGGTTTTCTCACACCGAGAAAAAAGATCCCGATAAAAGTGCAGCTACATGAAAGACAAATGTTTCCCACTTCATGCTAAAACAATAACAGAGAGACATAGAGTGTGTTTTACATTGTAATATCCATCACTGCTGACTTATCTGCTTTATTGTCCTTTAAAAGTTAACATTAACTCTATTCCATGAGTGTTGTGAAACTCACCACTTCATAATCAACATTTAACCTTAAAAAAACAACAACGACAGTCTACGAGCTTATTTTACACACTCATTATAAAGTCATGTTTTTATCTAGTTACTCTAATGTCCTGATTTTGTTACTCAGTTAAAGCGGAGTGTACCAAACTCCAATCTATCATAAGATGGCAACATCAATATTTAACCATTCTGCAACATTATGTGCACTGACATGTTTATATTTTTTAATTGCACAAAAGGTGCTTCAAGTAAAACAATGATGGCAAATATGTAATAAATAAGCAGGACTAAAATATATTTTTTTTAAAAATGAACTCGTGGTCTGTAAATGGAGGTGGGCTTCAGTCTCCTTGGTAAAAGTCAGACTTAACACAAAAACTTTCGAATAGATCGCCTTGAGCTCTGTACCCTTTAAGTCCCACCTCATTCAAAATATGTTTTGCTCAACGTTACTTAACGTGGCTGTTTGACCTTCTGTGGTCTTTAAATGCACATACTGTATGTGATGTGCAGTTTGACACCAGCAGACTGTTTTCATTTCTGCTGAAGTCGTTTTCTCAGGGCTAACCTTGGATCTGATGTGTGTGGACAGGAGCAAGATTGTGTTACATCACCACTAGTCATGAAGCGAGTCATAGTGTGGTATGCCACAATGCTGAGTCATTCCCCAGCACACATACGCTGACAGTGAACTAATCCATACCGTGCGGTGACAGTGGAGTGGAAGCAGTGCTGAGAATTTTTAACAAGGAGTCAAACTTTTCTTCTTTAAATAACTTCATCAGAAGCAATTTCTTTTATCAGGCAGATTATCTCCATAGGTTTTTAAGTTGCCTCGCTTTAAAATACTGCTTGCATTGGGACTAAATGCAAAAAGTCAGCATGATTTATCAGTAGTCAGCACTGTTGCCTTGCAACAAGAGACTCCTGCATGTGTGTGTGTTTGCAGAGGATGTGAATGTAAAGAAGTCCTCTAATGCAGACATAATTTTCCTGGTGTACTTAGTTGTTTTTTTCTAATTATCCTTCTTTGGAGAAACAAGGGTAGTAAGTAAACACTTTTCCAAAACTAGTGTGTACCAAATGTCACAGCCTCCTTCTAAGAAAATATAATTAAAGGCCTCAGAGGTGGAGAGGATAGAAGCTTAGCATGCGGCAGTTTGTAAACACTTCATTACGTCACTGTCATTCAGCAGAGTGTCTGACAAAGGACAAGTAAAGGCTTCATCAGCTGCATCTGGTAATGAGCATACCCCTGGCACAACACAATGAAGTTGTGATACAGAGCTTTTGTGCTCCAGGTCAGTCTAATTGCACATGCTTGGGTAAGTGGTGTAAAAAATCAAGTAGATTTTTAATGTCTACTGGTCAGAATAGCAAACCAAAAGAGGTTCTTTCAGATGAATGGACAAAATCGGCTCACATCCTTCAGCTACTCCAGCTGTAATTATCCCGCTTTCTCTAACTTGATTACCTCTAAACCTTTTGTCATGTAGTCAGCTGCAAGATTAGGGTCAAACTAATTAATGTGGCTGTCAATGACTTTAGTCTTTCAGTGTATTTGCAAAGAATGTTATAAAGATATTCTTTGTAATATTCAATTTTTTTTACTAATGTAAGGAGAACACATCTCAAATGAATAGTCACAGTTCTACATATCTATGCAGAAACTATTAAATGGAGTCAATTCAATTTTATTTATAGAGCGCCAAATCACAACAACATTCGCCTCAAGGCACTTTATATTGTACCGGTAAGTCTCCAAAAGTTGATTCTGTTCATCTGGACGTAGCGTTTTCCCAGCCCATTGTTCCTTTAGTGGGCTGGTTTCAGTCATTATGCAAATGTACTGTTTCTAAGATTGGGTAAACCTGCAGTCAGCTGAGACTGAAGAAGTCACTTGGATGAGTGACGGAGCGTTTCTCCCACAGAAAACGCTACGTCCAGAAGAACAGAATCAACTTTTGGAGATTTACTTAGCTGGATGATTGAGCATGCATCAAGACGTTTATATTGTAAGGTAGACCCTGCAATAATACATACAGAGAAAAACCCAACAATCATATGAGCCCTGTGAGCAAGCACTTTGGCAACAGTGGGAAAGAAAAACTCCCATTTTAACAGGAAGAAACCTCTAATGGAGAACCAGGCTCATCGGTCATCTGCTATGACCAGTTGGGGTGAGAGAAGAAAGACAGGACAAAGACATGCTGTGGAAGAGAGACAGAGATTAATAACAAATCCAAACTTCATGTCAAGTGTCATTATATAAACGTCTATTAGTTTGTTTTAATTACCGATCACAGAGAAATCAGGTAAAATTATATTACTGGTAGAGAGCTTCTCAGGAAGCTCAGTTTCTTCCACTCATCCTTCTCCAGGGAAATCTTAGAAACCAACTCTCCTTCACCAGGGAGCCAGTGTCTTGGTTGGAGAGGGAAGTAAATAGATTATTTTAGGAATCGCAAAGGATGGTAGGGATACTTTAAAAAGTAAGCCACGCTCATAAATTCAGTTGGTGGAGTTTCTTCTGTATAAACTTGGACTTAAATCTGTCCCTCCTTTGTTCCGTCCTAAATACAATATTGAAAATGCTGCTGCACATAATGTTTCTGAGAACTCTTGAGATCACTGTTGGATTCGACTGGCTGGAGAAAAGAGACCTAAAAATTCTCACATCTCTGGCTGCAATTAGCAGCTACATATGTTTAGTTTGTTGTCTGAGAGGAGACCTGTAGAACACTACTCGGTGAGATCTGCATTTCTGAAACAAAGGCAAGGGAGCAGACATCATTTTTCAAACTGGTTATAATTAGCTGTTTGTGCCAAAGCTCCAGTTTTGAATTAATTAGAGCAAAATTATAGACTGGTTACAAGTGAGACTTGCTAATCTCAAGATAATGAGTGCAAAACATAATTATGACACTGAGGAACTCGATACAGGTTGTACTGGAAGAAAACCTCACGCTAATATCACGCTAAAGAGGAACTGGTATGGATTTTTGAGTGGAAGCAACTATGGGAGGTTAAAGGCCTTTTTAGCCAGCAGGTGTGTCTCTTATTTCTTTACAGTCAAACAACTCCAAAGCAGTGTTAACAGAAAACCCTTTCAGGATCCACTAATCTCAAGTGATGTAAAAATTAATCGATACATTTCGAAAAATCAATACCAGAGTGAGAGATGGAGCTGAATCTGTTTGGAACCACGGATTCAAATCAAAAGATATAACAAAAATGACCTGAAAACTGTCAGTTAGCCTTCACTTTTGTTTGTCTGACCTTTAATAAGGAAATGCCAGCACTGAATATATGTATTCAGTGCTGTATAGAACTTATGATGGTGTATATGATTTACTCTGGAGACTGACAAAGGTTACACTGTGCATGAATATACCACGTGTGCTAGTGTTTATGAGAGGCATATTGTTGGGCATTTGAATATTGCTGCTAGGAATAAAACCTGTTAACAGTTTCGGTCAACATGCATACGTTATTAGATTGTCATATAGAAGCTAAATTTAAAGTGAACATCACCTGGACGGATTGGAGCAACCCTGAAATGTCAGTGCCTCCTATTATTATGTATTTATAGCTGTATAAACACATACGAGTATTCACTAACATTAGATGCTGATTCAGTGGGATAAAAATCTGGAAGCGTAAACATGATCCGCATTCATTTAGCTAATAGCAGCACTTACTCTCTAGAAATCAAAGGTTTTTTTTTAAATAATATGAAACCATTAGGCTACCCAAATTGAAAATATTTGCATCTCACTGAGTCTCTAAACATACATATTAGCCTAATAAATTCAACTTCAGTAAAAGCAGTAAGACGATGTAAAAATCAGCAGCTTTTGACTAGCTTGCTAGCATTAGCATCGCTCTATGTGCTAACAGCCTGTACTTAAGCACAAAATTCAGCGGTGGTCCCTCCATCCATTCTACACTCAACGTTTTGAGTTTTCAAAAGTCTATATCATAATGCAGAACACACGTCTGCATTTAAATCTGATTGTAAGTGCAGAAGTAGCCTGGATGATATGAGATGCAATCAGCAGGTTCACTTGTTCAGTCTCGTGTTAATCTTCCTGTCTTAAAGATGAATTTAATGCATCACTGTTACGTCCAGATACAACTCAGCTGAAACTCAGCCAATAAACGCTACTTCTTAAAGCACTCAACTGGATCCAATAACTTTTTATCTCAGTTGTATATTTTTTTCCTTTATGTTTAGGAGGCGCAGAGAAAAACTCCAGGCCCACCTGAAGGAGAGTCGCAGTTTGAAAAACTACACTACTAGTTCCCATAATGCCCTAGAAGCCAAAATGAGGGCCTCTAACACCAACCTGCAAATTCATGAGGTGAGTACATGAGATGTTTTTTCTCTTCTTTTTTTTTTTGGTGCTTATACATGTAAACACATGGAAAACTGACCTCATGCAGAACTCCCGGTGCTCCTGTTTTGTGAAGACTGTTGGCTCGTTTTCACATGTGCACTGCAACCTGGAATTTTTCTATAGGAGCAATATAGGTTTACAAGACAGGATAATGCAGATGGCATTGGCCAGTTGAACATCAGCAAATCTAAAAACTGATCATCATTTAAAGCAATACATTCTCTTATTTACTTACCTCCTTACTTTTAGTTACGGATTTATGAAAGAGTAAACATGAGGCTGTACTTGTGAGAGATTACTTCTTACAATGAATGTAGCAACATCCAGCTCTCTTCCAAAAAAATTTGTTAAAGCTGGAAATTCAAATGCAGGCTCGTGTTTTAATATAAATCGTTCGTTTATCATTGTTGTGGTAGCTTTTTTTTTTATCTCACCCATAGAGGCCAGAGTTTTTTGTAACAGTTATAAAGCCGTCCCTGGCTGAATTTCTGGATGTTGTTGTTTTTTTTAGGTAGGAATTTTAAAATATAGCCTTGGGCTTCAGGGGTTGGTTATTATTTTTCAGTAAATTAGTTGGCATTAGCAGGAGTCAACAAACATTAAAACATAAATCTTAATCTGAAAACCAACAAATATTCAAAATGAGATGTCTGCTCCCTAAAGTTATTATCACTGAGCAGACACACACCTCACACACGACACCGCAGAGGATTACCATTAGATTTATGGCTGCCTGCAGTTTGTGCATGTGAATAAGTATGTATTGCTGTCTCCACCTGGCCACTTGCAGGAGGCTTACAGGTCTTCTTGAGAGCAATCGTTCAGTGGTTTGGGAGCATGCTGCTGGCTGCCAGTGTCATTCATCATCTCCTCAGTGCTCTGTGTCATCGCGCTCCCAAATGTGCGTCCGGGAGTAGCTGGCATGGACATGAAAATTACCTTAACATGAATGTTGCTCCTGGGAGACTGTCCTTGTGTGTATTTCTACACCAATCTGCATAAATTAACCTTAAGCATTTTTTACAGTTTAATCATGTAAATCCCTCAGGCACTTCATTAGGTACACCTATGAGATCTAACATATTCCAGTACAACATCTATACCATGAATTACTGTGTTTCCAGCTTGTGATTTTCTTATCTTTATTGCATAGGTCATAATGGGTGCTGGTAGCGCTCCACCAGACTGCATTATATTTAAATGGTTCCAAATATTTTGTCCACTCCACTGAAATTAATACACAAGTGTGTAAAGTATTAGAAACATTTTTAAATGCACTGTTGGTCTATACACAAGGGGCTCCATCATAAGCGCATTAATATGCAGAAGATGAATAAATCACTGTGTGGGAAAAGCAGTGGAGATAATTACATTTCATGCTGGCAGTTCGTGATACAGCTGACAGATTTATCCTGATTTGTCATCATTGCAAAGACTGTCCTCTGAAAAAAATACATCAGCGGTTGTTATTTCATTAAAAAGCTTGAAATATAATATCTTCACCTGTAATGCCAAAGAAGGGAGTTTTGCAAAATGGGTTGACAAAAAAAATATGATAGATGTCAAACATACCAACTATATCTGGATACATCTTTGGTTTTGACCCCAGAAGCCACAGTTGCACTGCACTAGTTTTTGACACCAAAAATGCAAAGTTGTCCATATTTTATCTGACGTTTTAAAAGAGACCTAAAGTAATACTTAGACTTTGGAAAAGTAAGCTATGGTAACTTGTGGCTACAACCTTATATTTACCATACAGTCACCAGCATGGTATCAATATTGTCATCTAAATTTTGACAGCAACAGAGAAAATTTCCTTTGTCTGTTATGGCATATTTAAAATTTCAGATGAATCTGTTAAACAAATGAGTAGTTTTGCGAGCATAATAGTGTCATACTTGATTTGAAATGCAGAAATTGAGATTCTGATTTTTTTGTATCGACACTTTCATCGAAAAATAAAAACGAAATGAAAATGTCCTGGAGACACGAGATCCAATCAGAATGAAGCTGTATACCTTAAAGGTCGGTCCGTGAAAATAAGCCCGTCCATGGTGCAAAAAAGGTTTGGGCCGCTGTTGTAAAGGATAAAGCACCATCTTAGGGTAAAACCTTGGCTTGTACAACCAATTTAATTCAGTTTTATCAGTTTTATAGCACAAAATCACAACAAAACTTATCTCAAGGTACTTTACATTGTAAGGTAGAGCAATTATATTATTAATGCTATTATGTTACGCTTACCTCCTCAAACAAATCTAATCTAAAACATCCACTTGGCTGCTTCGTGGTCTCCCAGATGTTTTGGTGTTCCCAAGCTTGCGACTGCATTTTAATATCGTCCCAACTTGTTGATTTGTTGACTGCATGGTTCCCTTTGTCTCTTTTCTTTCTTTCAACTCCAGACCTTTGATCTCCTTATGAAAAAATAGGTGTGTAAATCCGAAATGTATCAACCATTCCTGAATGTTTTTAAAGACTTTTAAAGCTGAACGTCTACATATCAATCACATTTTGATTGTTTCGTTTTAGTTTTAATGTCAACCTCAAATAAATGTCAACACATTGACACTCTTGCACCTTCAGTTTCAGTTCAGACGATTCAAGAGTGTAAGACATGGCTCGGAGACAGACTTAACCAGAGTTTGAAAGCAATCTGAAAAATCTGGAGTTTGTAAAGATGGTGTGTCAGGTGCGTCTCCTCAAATTACCTTCAAGGTAAGAGGTCTGTCGAGGACAAACATACTGGCTTCCCAAACTAATGTAATGATCAGAGGAATAGCAAAAGTCCAGCCTCCAGCATAACTGCATTGCACAAAATATGCCCAAAAAACAGTCAATATTATTTTAATCTCAAAGAGCAACATTAATATTTCAGACAAATAACTGAGGTATTGTTGGAAATTGTGCAGCCATTAGAAGTACATCACATTTCATTTCACTTTCAACCTAAATGTCAGAGTTACTGAAAACAAATGCAAATAGATTTCTGTGTTTATCGACCCGATGAGAGAGAAGGCACAGGAAAACAGATCAGTTATATAGATCAGAAACGAGTCTGGGAAACTTGAATATTTTGTCTGCATACTTATGACTTGAAACTCCGTTCTGATTTTCAGCTGTGTAGCTATTTAAGGACATTTTTGTTATCTTTTCACTTTCTTATCTCCTTTTGTTTTATGGAAGTCAACAGTAGGAATGTTGTATTCCTTTTTCTTCTCGTTTATAGAAGCTTCATTCAAACTTTAAGTGGGTCACTGTTCTTTATCTCAGAATTTCCACTTTGCTTTATCTTTTTTCACTTACCTATTTTTTCCAACATCACTCTGATACATGATAATATAAATGGTCCAGTGCATGCAGGGACATCACATTAAATGTCACATCACCTAACATATTCAGCCACAGCCTAGTTTATCGACAACACAGCTGCTCATTGATTGTCACTGAGGCATTAAGCTTGTCTAAACTACACTGCTTCACATCTAGTTTTGAAATATCATGTTGTATTGAGAAAAAAGCTTTTTCTTGTTCTAGTTAAGAAGCCCACACTCGCTCGTCTTATTGATGAGAGACACCAGATTAGTAGCAACGCTCTTTTTACTAAAACACGTGTGTTGTTGACAGTGCCTTTAAAGATGTCTTTGTCATTTAACGGATAGTGATTGAAGTGTAAATGACCATTATTGCCTCCCTCTTATGGTGCACTTCAATTATTATTGTGTTATTTTGCAATAATTAATGATCTTTTCTGCAAAGAATTGAAAAAAGTAGACTATAATCGAATATCACATGCACATTGCATAAATTTGTACAGAAAATTATTTAAAATAAGCACTTTGGCTTTTATTTTCCTTACTGATTATTGTTTACTGACTCCAAAAAATGTTTTGTGGTGGAAAAACAAGGCGGATCTTTAGTGCATAAATGTTGCTTTGAAATCTTCTTTTATTTATTTAAATTCTACAACAGTCTTTGGGGAACTTGCATGCAAATGAGCAGCATTTGTTTATTTTGTGCCTACGCACCCAGAATCACATTGATTTCTGTCTGCAGGCAATCAATTACTAAAATTTCTGAAAGGAGAGCAACAAGCATGGGGTCAATGGTGTATTAGGATCTTACACACACACAAAACAGCCACACACACATTCATTTCTGTGTCATTTTTTCACTACACAGACACATTTTCGTTTTATTATTATACCCAACTTTCATTTAGATTCGTACTTTTCATCTCATTTTGCAGTAGCTACAAGTAGATCTAGACCCCTGTGATCATGTGGGTCACGCCAAAGTCGGCAGAACATTCCAGCAGTGGCCAGCAATAGAAAATGAACACTTCTGATTAGCACCGCAGGGCCCTTTGTTGGAAGTATTTGATTAAGCAGTGAACTAAAGAGCAGCTCTGAGCGAGTCAGTCTTTCTCTATCAATCAGGTTTTACCACCCTATCATGAATTCTTGAGGTGTCCCACAGAGTCCGTCTGCCATTTCCGCATAATTAAAACTGCCCTGACTTCATCATGAGCTGCGCTGTACTGAGCCCGCTATGCTAAGCGTATTTCTGAGACTGGAGTGCATGTGTTTAGCTGTGAAACAGTTAAAGACTCCATGATGGCTGCGCGAATCATAAAACCATCTCTGGTTCAGTCCACATAGTTTGTCAGTGTTTAAAAAGATGAAAAGAAAAATTCTAGAGGCATATAGTGCCTATCTTAGAGATTAAAACATTTATTAAAGTACATGTGCGCTCGCTCACGCACACACGTAGCTGTTTTATGTGCTCCACGCACCACGAGCGTCCAGACTGGGCGCAGTCACTGTCAAAGCCATGATTACTTTTGCTGGTTGTATCTGCTCACGTTTGTGGAGCTAAAGAGTTTCTTTGCCTGCAGCTGTGCAAAAAAATATTACATTTATATTGATGACCTCTATAAACAGTCAGTATTGCTGGATGAC